ATTTTACTCTTAGTAAGAAGGAAATCCAGATACACTCGCTTGTGCAGAGCAGAGAGCAGCCATGGCCTCTACACCAAGAGCTCTGACAGGCTGACCCTCTCTGCCACAGGACACTGCAAGCTCTGTCATACACAGAAAATCTGCCAAGTGTCACTTACATTGCTGCAGCAGCTCCCTGAAAGGCAGGGTCACTCAATCTAGTCTTCCTTTCTGTTTTATGATTTCTGTCGAAGCTTCTCATGTGGGCTTGGTAGGTCTCGCCTCCAACAGTCTGGGAGGCTGAGGCAGGAGAATCCAGGGTAGCCTTCAACCCTGTAAGAGTGCCATTTGCACAGTGCAGAGCCCAGGCAACAAAGGCTCCCCCCAGTCCTCAGCACCAGGGCCATCAGCACGCTAGAAGCCGCCCCTGCAGGAGCTGGGCAGGGACCCCTCCACCAGAGCTGCAGGCCTGGCTGCCACTAATTGGAAGTTAACTGTGCTTCCCCACTAATCACATGCAAATCCCTGTTTGAAAGGCTGAGGGCCTGACTCCCTGGCCTGGCCCTCTGTCTGTGTTGCTGCTTCTGTCCTGTGCAGTGTGCCCACGCACCCAGCAGAGAGGATGCCACCGGTTGGACACTGCGCCAGGCTGTACCTCCCCCGCCCCCGTCCCCCTCTAGGGCCCCTGCTGTGTTGTGGAGATACCCGCCTCGCTGCCCCTCTTAGCTCCCTGCAGTCAGAGGGCTGAAGGTAAGCCCCGCACCTGCCACCCAGCACTCAGGGAGGCTGAGGCAGAAGGATTGCAAGGTGAGCACAGCCTGGACAATTTAGATCCTGACTTAAAAATAAAAAAGTCTTTCAGGAGGCTGAGGCAGAAAGATGGTGAGTTCAAGGTCAGCCTGGGCAATTCAGCAATGTAGCGAGTCCCCATTTCGGTACAAAATTGGACATATATAAGGCCAATCACCCTGGGGAAGGGAGCAGAGGACATGACGAGACCATCTCTCCCTGCTGCAAGCCCTGAGTGCTGGGCACCCACAGCTGTGGCAGCTCAACCACGGGCACAAGCACCTGGGCTCAGGGAGCCAGGAGCTGACCCTGGAGCCCTGGTCTGAGCAGCACCCCAGCTGTTTTATTCTGAGGCAGGGTCTCCAAGTCATAGTCTGCCCAGGCTGGCTGGAACATTTGTTCCTTCTGCTCAGCCTCCTCAATTGCTGGGACAGCAGGTGAGAGTCCCTTGCCTGGCTGTGGACTCAGATGCCAGCCCTGTCCTCCTCCTAGGTGATAGTACCTGACCACCACTCCTGCAGTTTTCAGTTTGTGTTTCAGCTTAAACTCCCCATTCTTTCTCACTTTTTGCAAAGGAAAGCTGCCCGTGAGACACTGGTACAAACCATGGCGCGAGATACAAACCGTTTCCTGTTTTGCCTTTGAGGAAGCAAATCAGATACTGGATTCGTCATCGTTTCCCTTGCTCCAGAGGAGACAGGGCCAAGGGCCCAGAGTTGTCTACCTTCAACAGTCGGCCTCATCTTCGCACCCTAATAGTCGTTCAACAAACATTGCAGGGCAACTATGATTTTTAGGGCTATGTCACAGGGACAGCAGGACAACTCAAGATTCCAGCATCTGGTGAGGAGTCTGTGGCCAGGGAACGCAGTAGGCATCCTTGATAAAACACTTCCTTCCTGGAACCCCAGCACTTCAAGAGGCTGAGTCCAGCCCAGGCATACTACTGGCTTAGTAAGATGACCCTGTCTCAAAAAAGAATTTTTATTTTTGTTTATTCATTTTTTAAAATGTATTTTAGTACAGGATCTACAAGGTCTCACTACACAGATCAGACTCATAGTGATCCTCCTGTTTTCAGCCTCCCAAGAGCTGGGATTACGGACACACACCACCATGCCCAGTCTCATTTGTGGTCTCAGTGTGCCCTAGGGGGCGGGGGCGGCACAGCAGGCCAGAAAAAGAATGTTTAAAAAGGCCGGGGAGGGCCAGCCAAATAGCTCAGTGGATTAAAGCGCCTGCAAGCAGGTTCAGGGGCCAGGGGTTTGATTCTGGGGCTGCTGTGCCGGCCCCGCCCCTGGGGCACACTGAGACAGCAATTGAGGCTGGATGTGGTGGCATGTGGGGGCTGTAATCCCAGCTCTTGGGAGGCTGAAAACAGGCAGATCACTACAAGTCCGATCTAGTAGTGAGACCTTGAACACCCTGTAGACCCTTCCCTAAAAACAAAGAAAAAAAAGGCCAGGGATGAGCTCAGAGTGAGGGGCCTCAGTCCAATCCCAGTGCTAGGAAAAATGGTTCTTCTACTGTCCAGCTTGCCGGCACATGAGAGCCTTTGCACATGAGACATAGTCCCTGAGTTTGGAGCAGAGAGGGCTCTGCAGGAAGTGGGGCAGTAAAGGCTTCAGATTCTGAAGCACTCACACAGAGGGCTCTGCAGACACCTGAGGGGCCCGGCATCACAGGGCTCCGGGGCTCTCCCCATGGTCCAGGGCCCAGGCTCTCGCCGCCACCCCTCCAGCCTTGAACTCTCAGTGATCATCCTGCCTCAGCCTCCATGCCTGCTGCTTACTAAGACACTGGTGGTGAGGTCTTTCCTGGTTGGAGGCGGTTTCTTCTCTACCCAAAGGTCTCGCGTGCACCTGGAAAGCACCCTCACAGGCCTACCCCATGAGCCCTGGTTGACAGCCAGGCATGGGGTGCATATCAGGATCCCAGCATTTGGGAGGCTGATGCAGGAGTCTCTAATTCATAGCCAGCTTGGGCAACTTACCCTGTCTCAAAATAAAAAGTAAAAAAGACCTGAGGACACTGCTCAGGGAGGAAGAAGAGGGCCGGTCTCAGGATTGGGGGCAGGAAAGGACTTTAGGCCAAACCAGGGGACCAGGGAGGAATGTGGCAGAACAGGTCAGAGTGGAGGTAGGAGCTATGGAGGAGGAGCAGGTCATCCAGTGGGCAGACCTCACACACCTCACACCTTGGTCCCTGCAGGCCCTGGTCCCTGCCCCCCTGCAGCAGAGCTCTCATTCACCTCTGCTGTGGGCTCTGGCCTTTCCAGCTTATGAAAAGGACCTGTTCAGTGGGGCGTAGGAGTGCACACTTGTAACCCCAGCACTCTGGAGGCTGAGGCAGGAGCATCTTGAGTTCTAGGGCAGCCTGGGCTACACAGCAAGGCCTCATATTGAAAAAAGAAAATAAAACAAAACAAGGCCCAGTGGTTCAATCTGTCACAAATACTTGATAGAGAATTGCAGGATACAGCCAAGGAGAGAGCTCAGTGGCATAAGCACCTGCCTGAGAAGGGAAAGGTCCCAAGTTTTATCCCTGGTACCAAAAAGCCCCCAGAGAACTGCAGGCTAAATCAGGACCCCACAGCTGGGTCAGGAAAGGCCAATGCACGCTTCTCACTGCAGCGCTCACATTTCTGGTGCATCCTCATTAACAACTAAATGTAAAAAATGTCACATCATGAGAATTTTAAAAGCAGGCTGCAGGGGCCGGGGATAGCTCAGCGCCTAAGCACCTGCCTGGCAAGTGCCAAGTCCTGAGTTCGATCCACAGCACCACAAACCAAAACTAAATAAAAACAGATTATACTAAAAATGTCAAACGGACAAGTCTATAAGCACTTAGAGAGAGCAAGTCATTGGGCCCCAGCTGAGGCACAGGAGTGGAGCTGAGCCTGGCTCCCCAGCAGTCAGCGTCCAGGGGAGGGGGCTGGGTCTTGGTCTTCCACCAACTTCCCTGGCAACTGGGCTCGGCTCCCCAGACCCTGGGAGTCCCTGTTGGGAACCACAGCCTCAAGAATCCTGGGCCCCTCAGAGGTTAGTCCTCTTCCCTTGGCCCCAGAAGACAGGAGAGGCTGAGGCACTGGTGACCTCTTACCAGGACCAGGGCCAGGCTGAGACACTCCATCACCCCAATGCTCCAGGAGGCTGAGGCAGGAAGACCATATTTGGGCTACATAGTGAGTTCTGGGCCAGCCTGAACAATGTGGCAAGGGTGTGTCAAGAGCAGAAGCAAACAGCCATTACTTAACCCATCAGACACTGCAGTAGTGGAGTCCAGCTCTGAACTTTCACAGAGCAGGAGTGCCTGTTCATCCCCAGGCATGGCCAGGGTTGCAGGTGTGACCCTGGGCCATGCTCTCCAGGGAAGCTCATGAAACCCTGACTTCACTAAGGCCAGCACCCAAAGCCTGGGTTGTTCTGATGGAATCCTGCAGGCAGAGGGGTGATCCCCGCCCACTGATGCGAAGCTTGCCTTGGCTCTCCACCAGCAGCTGCGAGGCCAACCAGCCCTACCAGGACAAGAACTCCAAGTCGGACACACTGCTCATCTGACCCCACATCAGGGATCCCCTGGCCTTATTCTGCTCATGCTTAATGGTGGTGTAATCCCAGCACTCTAGGAGGCTGAGGCAGGACAATTATGCTCCAAGTAAAATTGAGCTGGGGACTAAGCTCAGAGTAAAAATGAAGGCTCTGGGCACAGGCCCCAGTACAGCAGGAATTTTAAAGCTGTTTGGCCACAGAACAAATAACTAGCAATATAAAACACCCAATATCCAAGCTTTAATTTTAATCCAGGCCCACAAATAGAGAAATAGCTAAGGCTGGGCACGACACAAACTTGGAGTCCCAGAACTTGGAAAGTTGAGACAGGTGGATCCCTGTCAGCCTGGGCTGTATAGTGAGATCAAGACCAGCCTAAACTCCTGAATGCAAGCCCAGACTCTTACCCGCAAGCCACGCACCCTGCCCGTAGCCACACATGATGTGCACCTGCAATCCCAGGACTCAGGAGGCTGAGGTAGGATGATCACTGTGGGTTGAGACCAGCTTGAGCTCCATAGCAAGACACTGTCCTAAAACAAAAACTTCCAAGTCCCATCTGGACACGATGTCCTTCTGTAAACTGCTGCTTAATAAGGAAAACATTTGAGTTGCGTCATTTAATTGCTATTTATTTTCATAAACATGAGGTATTTCAAAGTGCTATAAATGCAGCACTAAATATATACATTTTGAAGAAATTCAACACAGAACTTTGCATTTCCCAGTTCTATGCACCAAACATGAACAAATACATTAACGGGGGGAAAAACAAAAACAGGCTAGGAAAAAGGCATATATATAGTAAATTTCTTTACAAAATTTTCTTAGTTCAAAAAGTGATAAAGTAATATCTACTCAAAACTTTCACAACTCATTTTCATACGAAAATATAAGTATCAAATGTAGTTATATATCAGCGTCATCCTAAAGTATACAGGCAGTGTAGGAATTAGTACAGTACAGAACCGGGATTAACAACAGATTCGTATACAAACCATGCCCCTCAAACATTGAGGTATCATTACAGCACTCTCGAGAGCTGGGCCACGGCCACCTCCCCGCCAGGACAAGGCGGTGTCCACAGTATTTACACGGACGTCCCAGGCGCACGCCGCTGGAGTTTAAGCACCATTGTAAAAAGGAGAGGAACCACGGTGACGGTGGTCCCAGACCACGGCTCCATCGGTCATGATATCACAGCTGCCATGGGGTGGACAGCAGAGACCCAAAGCCACCCAGGGAGAGCTCCTAGACATCCCGTAGAACCCCACAGGTCCTGCCCCCACCCAGATCCAAACACGAAAGGAGGCCAATTGGAGAAAGTAAACTAACATTCTTAATGTCAACACATGTTTAAAAATAAGAATCCAAATGTGCAAAACGTGGCAGTGAGCGTGCATCCGCCGTCCCGCATGTTGAGGGATGCCTAGCAAGTCCTGGCGAGCTCCACGCTTTGGAGCAGCTGCCGCCGCCGGGCCTGCAAGGCCTCCTTCTCCAGCAGCAGCTGCTGCTCTGCGGCCTGCAGGGCCCGCACGTACTCTGCGGCCTTCTTCAGAATGACCACCTTGGCAGCCTTGTCGTTGCGCACCAGTTCGGGCACGTGGTCCCTGAGTGTCAGGAAGCTGGAGCGCAAGTCGTTGCGGCGCTGCCGCTCCAGGATGTTGTGGTTGCGCCGGCGCTCACTATCCTCCGAGTCTGAGTGCCGCGGGCTTGAGTTCTTGGGCTTGGCAGGGGCTGCACCCTTGAGGGGCCGCAGCACCACCTCGCCCTTGGGTCTCTTCTGCCGCGGTTCCTCGCTCTCCTCAAACGGTGAGGGCGCCGCATAGTTGTGCTGCTGGTGGACGGGGGCGCAGCGTTTGAGGGGCAGCTCACTGAGGCCCGGGCGGCCCGAGCCCTTTGGGCGCACGGTGATGGTGAAGGTGGTAACCGCCTTGCCTCCAGAGGAGCAGCGCCGCTTCTCCACGGTGACAACATCGATCTCCTCCTCCTCTTCTTCTTCCTCATCCTCGTCATCTTGGGGAAAAGAAGTGTTAGAGCGCATGCAGGGGATGCCCGGCTCGCCTCGGGTGTGCCTATCCAGACCTCTTTAAATTACTACGTACTAGCCAGGGTGGTGGTTCACACCTGTCATTCCAGCACTTGGGAGGCTGAGGCAGGAGGATGCTCAAAGCCAGCCTGCCTGAACTGCGTAACAAGATGCTGTCTCAGAAAAACAAAAACCAAAAATCAAGAATGTAAATATTTATAGAAATACATTTTTGTTCCCAGAGTCCAACACGTGAGCAGGAAGGACTGGGGCGCAGTCGCACTAGCTCTGCATCTGGGCTGCACCCCAGCACCACAAAATGAGAAAAAAAAAAAAAAAAACTTTCAGCAGGTGCTGAGACGGATCACCATCCTGCGCAAAGTGCTTAACCTTCTGCACCTGGGTTTCCTTGGCAATTCAAGAGGCTAAGGAACCCTGTGCAGCGCAGCACGCCTGTGACCTCAGCACTCAGAGTCTGACGCAGGAGGGGCCCACGAGCTCGGGGCCCGCCTGGGCTAGAGTGAGATACTGTCTCATAAAAGAAAAAAGAAAATCCCACCAGCACACCACACACCAGAGTCTCCTCATTTGGGGAGCCTCGAGGAGTGAAACAAATGAGCTTAAACTGAAGATCCACTTCATTCCCTCAGAAAGAGGAGGAAGAACCGGGAGGGGGTTAGAACACGACGACCAGGCCGAGTGCGCCTCCGTGCAAGGCCACCGCCCACAATCATGATGCTTCCCGGCGGATGCAGCTACGGGACACAGCAGTGCCGGCTGCCCAGGCAGAAAACGTCCAATACGCCAGCCAGCGTGAACATCAAAACACAGCCTGTGCTGGCAAGGGGCGGGGAGCAAAGCCAGGGTTTGTTCTCGGACCCAGCGGGCTGCGGGGCTGGGCCCTTTAAGCCGAGCTTTGGGGCCTTGCCAGGCAGACAGCTGTGGGAAGTAAACGCTTCCTCACCTCGCGGCAGGCGCAAGCGTTAAAGGGACAGGGCCTGCAGCCGCGCGTACTCCCAGTTTGCTCCGGGAGCCGGGAGTAAATACAGACGCGTCCAGAGGCACCCTGCAAACAGAGGCCCTTGGGCGCAGAGCCCGGGCGGCAGCTCAAAGGGCAGCACCACGGCCCTCGCGCCCCAGACCGCCGGCAACGGCTCGGTTTAACCCTTGTTTTCCAAGGACAAGCACACAATGGAGCGGCCCTAACAGGGCTGCTGGGGGCTTGCATTTACCTCCCAAAGCTCAGGTCTCCAACCACAACAGGAATTAGGGCCACAACACAGTTTGACCGCTGAAAGGGGTTAGCCATGAGAATGCACAGGCCAGAGGGTGCAGCTTTGGGATGGAGGGCAGGAGGGTGGCAGTGGTCAGGCCTGCGGACCCCTCCTACAAGGCCCGGATACCGCGCTACAGGAGTAAACAGCCCACCACCCACGAAGGGCGGGGGAAGGGCGCGCCCCCCCTTGCAAAAAAATGAAAAGACAAAACCGGCAGTTGCAACCTATGCAGTCTCCCCAACTTCCTGCGCCCGAAATAGGATCTGCACGACCTTGCTCTTTGGGGGGCGCCTCCCCCCTCTTCTCAGCCCTGCGCTGGAGCTCCTTTCCATTGCCGCCAACAGGCCTGTGCCCAGGGTGGGGGACAAGGTGATGCCCACAGCTAGACTCCCTGATGCTGGGCCGACACGCCAAGAGGGGCCCTCTGGGCACCGGAGCTACCGCGTCCCGGAGCCAACAAAGGCAGCGCGCGCTTCGCGCCTGGAGAGCAGTGCTAGGGCCGGCCGGCTTACCCGAGTCGCTCAGCGTGTCCTCGCCGGAGGTGCTCGGCGCCACGGTGCTGTCTGAACGGTCATCAGAGCGTGGTGAGGCGGCCCCTGCGGCTGCAGCCACTGCAGGGACATCGGTGACCACCGGGGCTGCGCCTGGCGCCGGGATTCCGGCCGGGGCGGTGGGCACGGGTTCGCGGGGAGTCGGCCGGAATGGGAAGACCGCGGCGGGGTCCACGCAGTCGGCGGCGCCTCCAGGCCGCACTCCCGGGGGTCCCGAGGTGGGGGGCGCAAGAGCCGGGAGCGCGCGGCCCAGCTGCAGCTTCTCGCTCACCGCGCGCTCCAGCTTCTCGCGCGCCGAAAAGCCGCTCCACATACAATCCTGCAGGATGACGGGGTTCGGGGTGAGGCGGCTCAGTTCCCCCAGACCAAACGCCTCCTCCTCGGCCGGGTCGCCCCACAAGTCAGGCTCGCACAGCAGCATCTCGGTGGCCCAGTCCGCGGGCTCCGGGAACGCCCGGCTCGGCGACAGCGGAGGCGTGGGCAGCAGCTGGAACTTCTTCCAGATGTCCTCTCCCGGCGGCGTGGAGTCGGGGCCACCGAAGTAGAAGTCATCCTCGTCTGGGAGGAAGCAGGGTTGCAGCGAGTCGAACTCGAGGTCCGGGTTCTTGCGGATCATGCCCGGCATGTCGTGCGGGACGGGGCCGGGCGGTGGCCAGAGGCACCCACTGCACCCGCGGGCTCCGTCTCTCCCCAGACCTGCAAGCGACAGGCACGGCGCAGTGGGCTGGGGCGCACAGCTAGCGTCCCTCTGTGCGCCCGAGCTCCCGAGGTGCAGAAGTCCTGCCCTGCGCTCTCTCTTTTGTGTACAAGCTGTCTACACCCGGGCAGGAGGAGCGTGCGGAGCCGGGGGGGGGATGGGGGTGGGCCATTGTTGCGCCACTCCGTGGAGGTGACATTTTTTTTGGGCGGGGGGGGGGGGGGTGGAGTGGCCGTGCAACTTTGCAAACTGCAGCTCCATTCACACACAGCCGCCGGGGGAGGGGGCTGCTGGCGGTGCAGAACCGAGCTCGGAGCTCCCAGCATGCAACCCCCCCTCCCAGCACCGGGACAGGACCACCGCGCCGGGGGTGCGTAACCTCAGCCCGCAGCCAAACAGGGGATTCTTTAGCTCAGCCCTCCTTCTCCAACACCCCCTTTGTAAAAAAAATGCAACCTTAAAGTGCAAATGCTGGCAGGAGGGAGCAAACTTTGCAAAGGTACAGAAGCTCCAGACACGGAGCTCTCCAATGGGGACCCCAAAACCCACCCTCCACGCACACTCGGTGTTATGCAGGCACTCTCCGACAACCACCCGCTGCACGGATAATCCAGCCTGCATTATTTTGCATCCAGCCAACCCCACCTCCTACTCGCCCAGGCCCCCAGCGACAATCCCTTCTCGGGAGCGCGCAAATGAGGCGCAGCCCAGACCTGGGGACTGCGCGGGGAGGGCCACGACCCCTGCAAACCGTGACCCAGATCGCGCCGCCCCACCTCACCCATTTTCCCTCCCTTCCTCGAGGCCACACTTTGGGCCTGAGTCCCACTACTCGGAGGGACGCAGCGAGTCCGCGCCGGCTCCAAACAGAGCCATCTCCCCCGCAGGGCGCATCGCTTTCCGCCGGAGCCGCGGCTCTCTCCCTGGAGAGGCTGGGGAAAGACTAGGGCGGGTCTGTTCTCCTGGGGACCCGCGGAGCCGGGCTAGCTACTCTTGAGCTCGAAAGGTTTCCTTCGCGAGCAACACGCGTTCTCCGCTCCTTACCTCCCAGGCCTCCCGGGGTCTCCCGGGCCGCGGTCCGTGCGCTGCGCGCGCCCTGCACCCGCTTGGCTCCGACACTGTCCTCAGAGCCCCCCGCACAGACAGATGACTGTCACTGACTGCGCTTTGAAGCTCGGGGGATATTATTAACTGAAAAATCTGACACACCCGGGGGGCGGGGAGAGAAGGGGCTGTGGAGCAGGCCAGGGGAGGGGGCGAGGCGGCGGCGCGCGGCTTCACCCCGCCCTCTTGATTTCCATAAAAATCAGGGGAGGTGCCAAGGCTTTCGCGCCAAAAGCCACTTGCTTTTCTTCTTACTAGAGGAAGCTTCGGCGCTGGCGAGCCCGGTGAGCTCCTCTCGCCCTTTGGAGCCCAGGTTTGCAGCCGGTGCGCGGCGAGCCAGTTGCGCGCCACACGGTGCACGCGGCCGCACCCTGGGCCTGGCAATGCTCGGCGCCGCAAGCATCAACGCTGCTCATTGCGCGGGGAGGCCTACCCGCGAGGGCGGAGGACGCGCGTGGGAGCGAGCCCCCGATGGCTGCGGCTAGCGCGCCGAGAGGGCGGCCCCGGTTGGAAATGAAAACGTGCGGGCACTCGGGTGGCGCTGGTCGCAGGTTTCTTCGGCCGAAGGCGACACCTCGCGGAGGCAGAGCAAAAAGCGAAGCAGGGGCAGGCAGACGGGTTAGCACTGGAGCTGCCGCAGTCCACACCGCCGGGCTCGAACCTGGGACCCCGAACTGTTAAAAGAGTCAGGAATGGGACAAAGCCCAGTGCTTCAGTTCCAAAGGCGCTGCCTATTAGGCAGTTCTAAAAGATTAGGGAAACCGGCGCATCCTTAGGATAGGGGTCATCTATTGTTATTCATTACCGGAGCCGGATAGAGTCTTCCGGGGAAATTACATCCTGCGGTCGCCCCTCCCGGCCCAGCCCCCCACTAGACCCTCACTTCCGTCTCATTTTCTTGACTCTTAAGTAATCATGGAGTAAAATGAAAGTTATTGCTCCAGATACTGGCACGGTCGTGCATGCCCTTAATCCCAGAACTCTCAGAGGCAGAGGCAAGAGCATCTGAAATTTGAACCCAGCCTGGGCAACTCAGTAAGACCCAGACTCAAAAGTAAATTAAAATGGGTTCGGATGTAGCTCAGTAGGGAGGCCCCAGGTTCAATACTCAATACCAGGGGAAAAAAGGATTGCTTCTGCAGAGGAATACCCCGTGGGGCGTGGTTCTGCCTCAGGAGCTGTGGAGCCACCCACCTAGGCCAGATGCGAAGGCCACTGTCCCTTCCCCTGCTGGCCCAGAGGGGAACCTTCACATTAGCCTGTGAGGAGCAGGGCTTCCGTCGGAGATCCAGGTTTTGGCCCTCCACTCACACCACTGTACAAGCGCTTCACTGGAACTGCACTCGTGCAGGGCACCTCTCGCTAACCTGCTAGGACCCATCCTCGCCAAAAATAAGTGGGGAAGCCCATGTACAAGGAAAGGATCAGTGTGTGAGTATGAGTGGTTGTGCATGCCTTTAATCCCCCCAGTCTGGTAGGCTGAGGCAGGAGGAACACAAATTTCAGCCCAACCGGGGCAATTTATTTTTTATTTTTATTTTGGTGGGGCTTTTTTTTGAATCAGGGTACTGCTGGCTGGCCTTGAACTTACAGTGTGGCCTCTGTCTCAAGAGGTTTTGCCCTTCAAGCCTCTTGTTTTTGGTTGGGGGACAGAGGGCAGCTGGGATGGCACACACTTCCATTTCCTGCCAGAGGCCAACTCTGTCTTGTCGCAGATCCTCATGCAGTTGCTGTGGTGAAATCAGGTCACAGCCTAATACACGGGGCGGATATTCACCGGTGCCTTGGTTTGCAGGTGGAAAGGTAGACTGGGAGAAGCTGACTGATGCTGCAGAGGAACCCAGGAGATTACTAAGGCCTAGTTGACATCACACACCCAAAGTCCCTTTTTTCAGTACTGTAGTTGAACCCTGGGGCTGCACCTTGAGTGGGAGCCTCCAGGTGGCTGAATTTCCCAAGCTGAGCTGGAACCTGAAATCTTGCTTCTGCCTTCCAGAGTCTGGTGAAACAAATCTTCAGGCCACTGTAAAGCCAAGGTTTGGTTCTCATCCTGAACCCCTAAGCAGACTCAGCACAGGGCCTGAAGAGGCAGCCACCTAGGGGCCCTTCGGGCTGAGAAGGCAACAGAACCCTCAGTGGAGTTACTGCCTTAGCCTGGTTAGTGATAGGGTTCAGTTCATAAATAAGAAGAGATGGGTGAGGGTGAAAATGTTTTAGTCAACTAATTTCCTGCTTTAAGGACAAAACAACGAATAGCAAAAAAGTAGCAAGCCAGATGTGGTTCTAGTCTCACTGGGAGGCTGAGGCAAGAAGATTGTGGCCAGGTGCAGCCTGAGCAACACAGCAAACCAGGGAGGCCCTGTCTCAAAACTTGAAAGACAGAGTCTGGGGCTGCCTGCTAAGTACTCCAGGGCCCGGTGGCTCCTAAAAGTTTCATCCCCTTCTCCCCCCACAGGAATGTTGCACCAGGCCTTTGCACAAATCCACATCCCCAGCCCATTTGATACAGGGTCTCACTAAATCACTAAATTGCCCAGGCTGGGCTTCACTTGCCACCCTCCTGAATGCTGGGGTCACCTGCATCAGCCACCAAGTCCAGCTCCATTTTCCTTGGTGACTTCAAAGCAGGGCCTGATGAGCACACCTGTCAGCCCAGCACTTGGGAGGCTGAGGAGGACTGCTTGGGATATATAGCTATAAAAGCATAAGAACTAATGGGGAAATTGACTTCATTCCATACCTACACTCTGGCATCCACAGAGTAAAGATAGTGGTCCAGGAGAGTCTTACGAGGTAGTGCAGGCTGGCCTCTACCTCCTGGAAGTCCTCCTGCCTCAGCCTCACTAATGCTGGGATCACAAGTGTGTGCCACCTCACCTGGCTCAACTTTGACTTTTTTCATCATCCCATGGGTTTGCAGCTGTATAGTGCTGTTGTAAGGCCAAGAGCTTGTGCAGTGTATCCAAGACTGAAATTATGTATAGCCACCAAAAATGTTAGATATGTGGAAGCAGGTGTGCAATTGCGCATGAGCAGGACGGTAGCAAGCTGAGGTCATGTGTCTGGCCTTTTGGATACAGTTGGATCACCCAGCTAAACCCAAGGACGCACAGACAGTGTGACACCAGGTGTTAAGTGTGGTCACTGAATAGAATCAGACTGGTGTGGCAGGATTTTTATTTTATTTATTATCTTTTTTTTTGGCAGAACTGGAGATTGAACTCAGGCCCTTGCTCTTGCCAGGGAAGCGCTTAATCTATTGAGCCATTTCTCCAGCCCGGGATTTTTTTTTTTCTTTTCAAAGTTTTATTGATAAACATATAGCAATGAGACAGTTTCAAATCAAATCGAAAGTACAGTTTCAACAAATAATACACTGCATATATTCTTCTTAGTGGTTAATTGCTGTACAAGATGCATCCCGGGATTTTTAAATTCATTTATTTTATGTATTTTTTTTTTATTGATTTGTTCTGAGAAGGTCCCACAATCCAGGCAGCTTGTGATATGTTAGGTGGCCCAGGCTATCCAGAAACTGAGGATCCTTCTGCTTCTGCCTCTCAAATGCAGGAAGCACAGGCCAGCACCACCTGGCAGTCCCCCCCCTGGGATTTGCAGGGAATTTCACTCCTCCTTTTTATCTTCTTAACTGTTGTTTTGGTGGACTTAACTGTGTAGCAGAAGTGGAAGATCTTTCCTGCCCCAGGTCACCCCTGGAGGCCACTCCCTCACACCTGGTTGGAATTCTTAGGGTCAACTCAGCTAGGAGGCAGAGGCAAGAGAATCCCACATTTGAGCTCAGCTTGAATAAGAGACCCTTTGTATCTGTGTATTCAAAGTGGTTAGGATAGATATATAGTTACATTCTCTTAATGAATAGAGTGATTTGTTCTAATGGTGTTTGTAAATAGGATATCATGTCCGCATGTTATACAGCAATTAACCACCAGGAAGAATTATTGAAACTGTCCTACCAAAAAATAAAAAATAAAAATAAAAAAATAAAGTTTTCTCTCTGTTGTGGTCCCCCCCCAAAAAAAAATTGTATTTCTCTAATGAAAAAAAAAAAAAAAAAAAAAAAGAAATGAAATGAAAAGAAGGGGGGTGTAGCTCACTGAGCCCCCAGGGGGTTTGATTCTCAGGGCTGGAGTCTTCCGGCTTCACCTCCCAAAGACAACCATGACCCAACCACCCTAGAAGAACCCTGGCCACACCCTGGGGTTTTGACACCTGGTCTGGAGGATGGACCTGGGAGCCACCTCCTGATGTGCTATTATTTTTATTAGTATCTTCCTGCCTAGTATCAGCCTCCCTGGTACCATTAGTGCTGGTGCCCAGAAACCAAGTGCTCCTTCCTCAGTCCCTGTGCAGGAAGAAGGCCAAGTCTCTGGGACCTTCCTGGTCCCATTACCCCCTCCTCTCTTGTCTGCCTGGACCCAGGACGGTGCCATGGCCCAGGTCCCCTCGCAGGGGCTGTCAGCAGGGAGGGTGGCACCCACCAGGTGACCAGGTGATTGCCACAGGTATCCTCTGTCCCCAAGTCCCTGCCTGTCCACCAGGCTGCCCATGCTGTCTAGGGCAGGACAAGGGCTCAGCTTCGCTCTTTCCCAGTGCTGGAATCAACCCAAGACCTCACTTTCTAGGCAGGAGCAGAGCTATGGGCCACACACAGCCCCTCCTTGGGACCCACTATCTGAATGCCCGGTGATGCTCCTGCCTCAGCCTCGTACACATAGGATGACAGGAATGTACCACCATACCAGCCTTGTTTTTTAATTTCTAATTTTCAGTCTGGGTCTCACTGCCCTCCTGCCTCAGCCTCCAAGTGCTGGATTCCAGGCATGGGCCCTGTACGTGGCTGACATAAACATCTTAGCAAAACCTCTGAGGATTGGATGAATTAAGACTTGTTAAGTCAACTAATGTTAAAACAGCTCAGCCCAAACAAAAATAAGCCAGGATCAAAGAGAGAAAAGGCTTACAAGTTACTTAGTTGAGAGAATCTCAAAAA